ATATACAAAGATGTATAGATAAACACAGCAGAAGAAACAAGGGGAGAAAACAGAACTGTGTAAGACTAAAGTTGTTTTTTTTTTTTTAAGATTTTATTTATTTATTTGTTAGAGAGAGCGAGTGTGGGCGAGAGAGAGTGAGCAAGGGTACAAGCAGGGGGAGCTGCAGGCAGAGGGAGAAGCAGGCTTCCCGCTGAGCAAGGAGCCTGATGCAGGACTCGATCCCAGGACCCTGAGATCATGACCTGAGCCGAAGGCAGACGCTTAACCGACTGAGCCACCCAGGCGTCCCAAGGGTAAAGTTTTTAATACTGAAATTAATTAAGGGTAATAATTCTAACTAGGTGTTTATAAGTTAAGATGTCAACTGAAATCCCCAGAGCAAACACTAAGAAAATAAAACAATACAAAAACACAGAATAACAACTGCTGGCACTGCTGGCAGGAATGCAAAACGGTGCATCAGCTATGGAAAACAGTATGGTGGTTCCTCAAAATATTAAACACAGCAGCGTGTGATCCAGCAAATCTACTTCTGAAATCTAACCAAAAGAACTGAATGCAGGGACTGTAAGAGAGACCTGTATATCCACTTTCACAGCAGCATTATTCACAATAGCCAAAAAGTGGAAGCAAGTGTCTATCAACAGAGGAATGGAGCAACAAAATGTGATATATACATACAGTGGAATTTTATTCAGCAATACAAAGGAATGACTCATGGTATACTGTGGTTGAACTTGGAAGATACTGTGGTAAGTGAAAGAAGGCAGTCAAGAAAAAGTTACATTTTGTGTGATTTGCATGAAATGTCCCAAAACAGACAAATCCATACACATAAAAAGTAGACTAGTGGTTGCCAGGAACTAGGTAGAAGGAAGGAATAGAGAGTGACTGCTGACGGATACAGGGATTCTTTTCGAATGTTCTAAAACTTGATAGAAGTGACAGCTACACAACTTTCTGAATATACTAGAAACAACTGAATTGTTCACTTTAAAGGGTATATAGTAAATTATAAAAATACGAAAATTATGGTGTAGGAATATTTCAAGAAGGCTCTTATTCAAAAAACAGAAACAGAATGCTATAAAAAGGGACCATACAATTGGAAGAGAAAGGAAAAATTTTTAAATCAAATACCCAATATCCAAGTGGTCATAATATAACTACAATATTTATAAATATAACTTTTATATGTATATGCTTATATTTATAAATACAATAGTTATATTTCTAAAGTACCTTGCTCAGAAAGACATGAGGTTCCAGATAGAAAAGCCCTCCAAGCGCACCACACAAAAAATGAAAATGGTCCCATACAAGACCCATCAACCATAATGTTTCAGACAAAATCAAAGTTACCTACATAGGATGAAGAATCAGAACGGATTTAGAATTCTCAGTAGAAACACTGAAAGCTGGAACGACTCAATGGAGCACTGGCTTTAACATTTACACTGAGGGGAGCCTGGGTGGCTCAGTCGGTTAAGCGTCTGATTTCGGCTCAGGTCATGATCTCCGGGTCCTGGGAGTGAGCCCCGTGTTAGGCTCCCCCACTGTCTGCTTGTCCCTCTGCCCCTCCCACTGCTCGCTCTAATAAATGAGATCTTAAAAAAAAAATTAATTTTAGCCACCAGACAGACAAGACTCAAATAACAACCAAATGCATGGCCCAAAAGCAAAATTCTGGCTCCTCCAAAGTAAAGCAGATGAAAGGGCAAATCTCTTCCCACCTGTGAAATGGAAAAAGGAGCTGTGCCACAAAGCATATTATTGATCTTAATGTTTATGTCACTTAGCTGATACTATCAAGGCATTTTTTTCATCACATATTTCCTAGAGATATAATTAATCTTCTCAAACACAGCACTCACTCAATGGACAAACTCTTAAGAGGGCAGCATTTTATTTCAGGATGCAAGTTTCAGAAAGCACCACGCATGGGGCACCTAGGTGGCTCAGTCATTAAGAGTCTGCCTTCTGCTCAGGTCATGATCCCAGGGTCCTGGGACTGAGCCCCACATCGGGCTCCCTGCTCCTCCCTCTCCCACTCCCCCTACTTGTGTTCCCTCTCTTGCTGTGTCTCTGTCAAATAAATAAATAATAAAATCTTTAAAAAAAAAAAAAAAAGAAAGAAAAGAAAGAAAGAACCACGCATAACCCACGCTACTTTATTAGTCCTGTGGCATCATGCTAGGCTGAAAATCTGTGATGCTCACATAACAGCAAAATAGATATATATAAATGACGAACAGAAGTCTAGAATGTTCAAGTATTCCCGTCAACCAGTTGGAGCCACAAATAGCAGACAATGAATTTCCAAACAACGGCAGGATTCTTCCAAAGTTTCATTCCATTTGCACGTGTTCCTGACAAAATCAAAATAAAGGTGGCAGCCAGAGGCTCTGACCCTCACAGTGCTAGGTAAGTGTCTTGTAATAAATACAAAGAAACACGAAGTTTTGGCCTCTTTCACCAGAGTAATGCCTTTTTTTTTTTTTTAACATTTATTTATTTGAGAGAGAGAGAGAGATAGCAAGAGCAGGAACATAAGCAAGGGGAGTGGGAGAGGGAGAAGCAGGCTTCCCGCCGAGCAGGGAGCCCAACGCAGGCTCGATCCCAGGACCCTGAGATCATGACCTGAGCCGAAGGCGGACGCTTAACAACTGAGCCACCCAGGCGCCCCCAGAGTAATGCCTTTGAAGCACCAACAGCCTCCTTTTCCAGGCACTGTGCCCACCAGAGTTTTATGGCGACAGCCGGGAAGCATCTGGGCCCATTTCCTTAGGACTACCCTCTGCATATGGTCTACAAATTTTAGGAAGGATTTTAGGTCACATGAGAGATCAGAAACCTCATTCCCATTCACAGAAGACCAAATTCTGCAGCTTCATTTAAAAAAAAAAAAAAAAAGGGAGGGTGGTGGTATAAAATCCCATCACTGGGAGGCTGAAGGAGAAGGTTCTAGCCCCAGCTCTGGTTGGCATTACCTGCCCCCTGGAGCCTTACCTAAATCGCCTTCTGTGTTGGGGTCCCCAAGTCCACACCCAGGTTTAATGACTGGCTGGGAGGACTCAGGGCTCGGCACACATTCACACTCACAGCTATCACTATCGTAACTTAGGACACTCCAAGAAACCAGCAAAGGGAGAAGGTACATGGGGTGAGGTCTGCAGGAAAGCAGGCACAAGCTTCCTAGAGCCCCTCCCAGTGGAGTGGAATCACAGAAGACATGCTTAACATCCCCAGCAACAAGCTGTGATAATCACAACACGTGCGCCGTGCTGTCTCCCAGGGCACTGCTGGGCTGGTCATACAGACACTCCCTGGGGTAGCATTTACCAGCATGCCAGACTCCCAGAAAGAAAGCAGGTGTTCAGTGTAACACACACTGCTAGGGCACAGTGAGCCACTCTTGCCCACTCTTTTGGGAATGGGAAGCCCCCAGATCAAAGCTTCCAGCCGCCAGCCCAGGGCCAGCATTGCAAGCCGGCCTCCCCAAGGACAGCAGTCTCCTCTGAGCACTTATCTCTCCAGATCTCAGTGTCACCATGTCACCTCCCAGGTGTACAGGCTTGCTACAGCAGCCTTCAGACAGGACAAGTGAGATGGTCTGCTCACGGCCTAGGGCTACCGTGAGCTACACAGCCTGCTTAGGCCACCCCTGGAGCAGGAAAAGGCTTCACTGCTCACAGCCTGTCTTCCCAACGATGATGCTGACGTCATGAGTAAACAGCCCTCTCCCTCCAGCCCTGCTCTCCCTGCTCACCTGGGCCCTCCAATTTTCCCTAGGACACTGTAGGGTTTTTGTCTTTAAGTTCGCCTTTCTCCTAAGTATTCTCCCATATACTCAAAAATAAGAAAGCTGAGGTTCATAAAACACAGGAACAAAATAAGTCTATTCTCACAGATCACCTGTTATAAAAAACATGAAAACAGTTTTATCCCCATCTAATAATCTTGCACACAGCTCAGGGGACATCATGAGAGCAACCCTGGGGTCAGACAGGACTCTCAACAACACAGAGTATAGCCCTACCTGCCTGCTCACAGAACCCTTACTTTAGGGTAAGGGGCCCGCTTCCATCATAGCAAATTAAGGGACATCAAGACAGAGGACTCCAGTATATTTCAAAATCCCAACCCATATCTGGACTCCCAATATTCTGTAAACTCTTATGAAATGGGGCAGAGAAAATTAAAAGGGGAGCCAGGAGAACAGGGCTTCTCTCTGAGCTCTGACTCATGCTGTGTGCTCTCCCAAGTCACTTCATGTCTCTGGGCCTCTGCTGTCTCCAGGGACACGGTGACAGGCTCAGACAAGCTGCTCCAGAAGCCCAGGCCATGTGTAGCTTCCCAGGACTTCAACATTACTCTCTCCCTTAAAAGAAGGGGGCAGAGCACAAAAGGTTTAAGATTCTTCTGCCAGAGTTAAAATTATAGATATCCAGTTGTTCATTATTTTCTTTAAAATGTTGACTACAACAGAGACCACTGTGGACTCAGGTGGTTTTGGATCTGATGAGACGTGCATGCCCTTGCATTGGCCTCTATATATTGAGACTGGCAGAACACTACCATTTCAAAGATGCTTTCCAGAATAATTATTATTTCTATCCAGACTCATTCTGGAAGGGTTTCATTAATTCAAACAAATATATTCTAAGTACCTACTACACTAGGTACTTGGTGCAAACAAGATATAGAACTACATGGGCCAAAAGAATGCTGAATTTCCAATACCAATTTTAAACATGCTTCTAAAATCAATACATGGCACAAGATGTGGCCAGATGTCTGGGTGACAGTCCTCCTTTTAGGGACGTTGAATGGGAGGGGCCCCGACACACGATCTGGACAAGACCTCCGACTGCCAATCCTCTAACCACATATTCTTTGAATATAATCACCACCATAAATTAAGTAGTACAAACCAGGAGGTTAACTGAAGAAAGAAGATGGGAAGAGCAGAAGGAAGGAAGACAGTCTGAACTCACCGGGACTGCGGCAATCCTTTTTTACTGAGGTCTGCCCTCACACGTTCTCCCACGTGTCTGTAAATCTCCACTAAGCTGTTTATTGCTGCGTCTCGAACCTAGATGTAAAAGAAGAGATCTTACAGTTGCTCTGTGTCAGTGCACAGCGCTTCCTGCTGGGACACAACAGGCCGTACGCCACCCCGAGTTTATCACCAATCTACCAACTCAACTGTGATACAACCCCTTACAGACGTTTGACTAGACAAAGCCACGTTGCTGGTACAATTCCAAAGAGGAAATTCGGGTCCCCTCCCTGGAGACGTGTGAAAGTCCACATCCCCTAGTGCTTTCGATTCTTTCAGAGGATGTCAGGAATCCAGAATTTTCGGACCATCTTCCCAAAACAGAAAATACCACAAATAAATGAATTATACTAAAAACAAAACTTCATGTATAAAAAGCATTCTAGATTGAACTCAATAAAATACTTAGTGAGCAACAAAAATGGGTAGTAAAAGCCGTAATACATAGAGCCCTGTATTCAAGAAGCTAAGAGTCCTAAAAGGGGATTGGAGGAAGGGGGACGCAGTAGTCCATAAATTCTACATTTAATACAGAGCAGGATGTAGTAAATACCATTCAGAAGTACAAAGAGCTCACACAGGTTAGAGAAGAGAGCAAGCACACTAGACGATACCAAGGAACATTTTCTGGAAGAGGAAGGAACCACTCAGAATGTGTTTAGGGGACAGCATTTTACCAGGTAAAGATGGAAGGAGACAGGTTCCAAACAAGGTACAGCCTGTGTGCAAAGGCATGAAAGCAGAGATACATGGCCTGTGCTTCAAGAAGAGCAAGTAAGTAGTTGGAAAAACACAAATATGAACCAAGATAAGAACGAAGCCAATAAGTAAGGCTTAAGAAACAGATTTAAAACAAACAAACAAAATCAGGGAAATTTGAATATGGATATACATCAAACATTACCATCATTAGCAATGTTAAATTTCTTAGATGTGAAAATAACATGTAGTTATATAAGAAAATATCCTTGAGAGATGTACACTTAAGTATCTCAGCAAAAACATCATGTCAGAGCAAAAATATCATGGTTCAGAAAAAAAGAGTGTATTTCTGTGTGTGGGTATGTGTACACATACAGGGAGAGATCAAACAAATGTGACAACAATGTTAACTGGTAGATACAGATGTTAATACTAGTCCTAAGATTTTTCTATAGATTTAAAATTTGGTTAATAAAAACATGCGGGGGAAAGACTTTCAGTATACCCTGGAACCAAGGCCAGCCTGTGAGGGTTGGGAGGAGCGGAGATGGGTACTTACTTCAGTAGGCAAAGACAGGGGAGCAACATGATTTTGGTCTGTGTCTCAAGCAGTGACATCAAAATAACAGAGAAAGAGGGCACGTACTGAATGGAGCACTGGGTGTCATACGCAAACAATGAATCATGGAACACTACATCAAAAACTAATGATGTAATGGTGATGTAATGTATGGTGATTAACATAATAAAATAATAAAATAAAAAAATAACAGAGGACAAAAGACAGAGGAAGGAAGTAGGGATACAATTTACAATTCTCAATACTGCAGGCTACTCTTGATTTACGAGTGTTATAGGTTATAGGACAGGTAACTTCACTGATCATTTTTCCCCTTATGGTGGAAAAGGGCAAACTTTATGTTACAGACTGAATGTTTGCATTTCCCCCCCCCCAATATGTTGAAGTCCTAACCCCCAGCATGACTGTATTTAGAGACAGGACCTCTAAGCAGTAACAGGTTAAACAAAGTCTTAAGAATAGGGCCCTGACACAACAGGATTAGTGTCTTTGTAAGAAAAGACACCCACGAGCTGCCTCCATTCTCCACATGGGCACAGAGAGGTCACGTGAGCACACAGCGAGGGAGCAGTGTGCAAACCAGGAGGAGACCCCCTTCCAGAACCAGACGATGCTGGCACCCTGATCCCCCAACTACCAGGCTTCAGAACTGCGAGAAATGTATTTCTATTCAAGCTACTGGTCTATAGCATTTTGTTGTGGTAGCTCAAGCCGACTAATACAGATTATCAGTTTATTTGGGAAAAGAAAGACCTTCTGAATTTAGGCATCATTTTTATATAGAAACACGCATATACTACACAAGTTGTTAATGCCACTGTGTCCTGAAGATGACTCAGCTCACTTTCTAATGATGACATTTGCTCAGAGCCCATCACCTTAATGAGCAAGCAACATCCTGCCCTACTGAGAAAGGCTGGGCCATTAGTTTAAGAGATTTAGTGGAAAAATGACCAGCCTTAGAATCAAACTAGACCTGAGTACCTCCCTTGGCCATTTAGGAACTGTGTAACCCTGGATCAAATACATAAACTATTTTAGTCTCAATTTTCTCCTCTGTGAGCTGAGGGCTGCTTTGAGGGCTAGAAAAAATAACAAATTCATTCCACAAGTATCTGAGTGCCTAGCAGATGCCAAACTAAAGTGCCTCCACGGCCCAGGCAGGGACCTTGATACCTGGGTGGAGCCAGGTGGGTGTACAGTGACAAATGGCTCTGGCAGGGGACCCTGCTGGCAGAGAGAAGGGGGAAAATGGAGGGTCGGGCAAACAGGTCGCCGTCACCCACCCTTGGAGGAATGTAGGCACGGCTCTGCCACATCTAATCTTTCGAGAGAAATCGGGAATACAAATCTTCCAAATATAAGAACGCCAAAACTCTTAAATGTAAAACTAAAACGTTAGGCGGACACACAATGCACATTAGGCTGCGATTTTAGGTTTCAGGCCAGCAGTTTGGAACCTGTATGTTGTGTGTATAAAACACTCAACATGAGGCTAGTGGAAGCAGTATATCTACATCTTCTAAACCAATCTCCTTAGCCTTTGAAATCGTCATTCCTCAGCCTTACAAAGCTATAGGGTCAGAAAGCATTTGAGGGTCTAAAGCACCCTCCATTCAGGAAATGCGGCACAGCGCATTTTCTCCGGTCCTACAAAGTACTATACTCCAACTGAGAAGGGAGGCTCTGTACAAGCAACTCAGACTGAAGGCACAACAACGCAGCGCTCGCTTCTAACACAGCCACGCGGGCCCCACACTGCTTCTGCCCGCCCTCAGGCTCGCCATTAAAAAGGAACTCCAACTTTTCAGGCCACTGGGACTACAAAAGCGCTCCAATACATTAAGCGCTGCCTGGCAGGCCTGAGTTGAATGCTCTACAGAACCGGAGGTCTTCAGATCTATGACCTTCCTCCTGGGACCACTGTTTACTGGGATACAGAGGCGCCCGGCCGCCTGCTGGGGCGCACAGCAGGAAAGACTAATGAGAAGATTAAAGTAAAGGCAAAAGCACAGGCACGTGTGGCATACACGCGTCCCCCGAGAGGAGGGATGACTCAGCATCAACAGCAGAGAAGCGGGTGGTCAACTTCCCCGGCAGGAGGGTCCTGGGAGGTGTGGGCCGCGCGTGTCTGTGCGTGTGCAGATAAACACTCCTAAGGCAGCTGAGAAGCAACGGAAGACCGTCTGAGCGCGCAGGCTCGGGTATCCCGGCTCTGTCTGCAACAGACTGCCCAAAGCTTCCCACGGAGCCCCGACGTCACTGTGCCCCAATGCTTGGTGTCCCGGGGCCCACCGTGCGGATTCACATCACCCGAGTGGTCAGTGACAGCGCCTGAGTTAGGAAGGAGGACATTCAGCTAGCCAGGCTGGCTTTCCTGCTCGACTTAAGGATACCATGTGATAGCAGCAATCGCCACGTGTGACCTCAATAAAGGATTTCTTTTTCCCCCCATAGAAAACAAAAAATGGGGACAAGACCAAAAAGGGAGAAAACACCAAATAACCCATTTGGTAACTTAGAATTAAAAAAAAAAAAAGTTTCTTTTTAAATTAATGCTGAAACATAAAGCATGCTTCAGTAAACTAAAACATCTCAAAATTCCACTTCCAGGGTCCTGTACTTTCCGTGAAGGCTGGATAAAGAAGTGGGTGGCAAGAGGAAAGCAGGTGCAATCAAAAGACCCAGAGAAGCCACGGGCAGTGCACAGAGGAGGGGCTGGGGACGGGAAAAGCAGCAGCAGGGACAAGAAAGGGCAAAGCCAAGGAGGAGAAAGGACAAGAGCCACAGGGACCTGGGAGCCAGGGAAGGTGGAAGGCGAGCTGGCACAACTCTCTGGGGACACGTTAGCAAGCATCAGTCAATGTTTAAAATGAGATGGCTGCGTACCACGTGTATTTCTTTGGTAAGTTCCTGTTCTGATTTTCGGCCCCTTTATCTAATGAGGTGTTTTTCTTATGAGTTCATAAGAGCTAATTATCATAACAAAAATGACTCTCGGTGATAAACAGAACTAAATCCGTGGGAGAACTGGCACTTCTGAAGCCCAGGCTTGGAAAGTTCTGTGACCTGCCTGGTGACTGCCCACGGATTACTGGCTCTTCTCCCACCCCTACACTAAGGAAGTGGTGCTTTGGTGTTTGGTCCCTGAATTTACTCAAGATCTACATAAAATAGCATCCGCACTTCGTTAGGGTTCGAGGAATTTCATACACAAACCATGTTACATACACCAGTGTGGCCACCACCCAAACAAAATACAGGAAGCTTCCATCCCCTCAGAGCAGGTCCCTCAGGCCCTTTCCAATCAATCTCCTTACCCCAAGAGGCAATGCCTGACTGACTTCAATCAGCATTGATCACTTTTCCCCAAGCCCACCCCTTTTTGACTGTAGAGTGGGTGACCAGAGGGACAGTATCTTGAAAGCTGGTCTGGGTGACATCATTTTACAGGCTAGCGAGACCTCAGCCATATAGAGAACAGGGCAGCGTGATCACCACATTCACCAATTTTATCTTATAAAAATGCTAGAGGGCATTAATGCTAATTATCTGGAACAATAATCAGAACATTATAAACATGAATAAAGTCCCACCCACCTATCAGGTACACACAGAACACCAGAATGCATCTTAATGGTCTATAGCCAATATTCTTCTTTCTCATGAAAATACACTCACCTGGCTGTTTGGATCTCCAAGTAAATTACATATATGTGGCACAATCTTGCTTAGTGTTAAAGTATGTGCTCCAGAGCTGAAAACAAAAGGAGTGTTTTACTGTTGGTGAGAACAGAGAAAAGAAACAGCCCTCCCTCCCTCTCCATCCCCAGGGCCTTATCGCCCCCTCACACCTCGACTCCCCTTCCTTCCCATCTTCCGCCCACCTGGTTCCAAAATAAGCACGCCACAAAGGCCCCACCCCTCCGCACAGAGTTCGAAACCTTCCATGCTACTTGCTGACGTGCCTTCTCCCCAGCACTCGGGGCTTTCTCTGTTCTGGCTCCCAGCCTGCAATGCCAAGCCAAGGCCCTAGCCTTTCCCACAGTCTTGCCTGCCTCACACACGGCTGCCCCTGCATTATCATTCTGTCACAAAGCAGTTCCTGTTTTGCCCAACTCAGTGTTCTCAATTAAACCGCCATTCTCTTGAGGGTCCTCGCTTAACTCTCCACCTGTGCACAGCTGGTGCTCCGTTTATGACTGCTCAGTGGGAAGACCCTGACACAGTGGCCGCAGAGGGTTCCAGCTAAACCCTGCCCTGCTGGACAGCATGGAAGTCACTGATCACTTTTCGCTGTCATAAACACTAGCACAAATAGCCCTTGTGAATACAATTCTCTCTGCTAATCTGACGACTTTCTTAGGATACATTCTTAGAACCACTGTGATCAAAAACTAGAAACATTTTTAAGAAGATGCAAGCTTCGGCTAATTAAAATGGTACTGAAAAGGCTAACATATTGATCGGAATATTTTACAAGGTGACATAACCTTTATTATCCCAGTTTTATTTTTTGAAAATAATATAACTTTACAGGTTGGACTAAAAATGCACAAGTTAACCATGATTGTGTGAAGGTGGTAGAAATATACCGAATCATTATATTCTTCCTGATGTAAATTTTCTGACATATATAGTATCACTTTTATAATCAGAGAAGGTGACTTGTAATTTTTCTATTTTAAAAATGCCTCTCCTACAAATAAGCACGTGACGAAATATGCAACATCAACAGTCATTAGGAAAATACAAATTAAGACCACAAAGAGATATCACTACACACCCATCAAAATGGCTAAAATAAAAAACTGAACACTCAGTGCTAACAAGAATACAAAAAAATGGAATCATACATTGCTGGTGGAAATGTAAAACGGTACAGACAACTCTGGAAAATAGCTTAGCAGTTTCTTTAAGCTTAAACCTACCAGATGACCCTGCAGTGGCACTCTTGGGCACCAACCCAAGAGAAATGCAAGCTTACGCTGCTGCAGGAACATGTACATACGCGTTCACAGCAGCTTTACTTGTAACAGCCAGAAACCAGAAACTATTTAAACATCCTGTAACAGGTGAATGGTGACACAAACAGATACGTCTGTACCATGGAATTCTACTCGGTAATAAGAAGAAATGAAGCATTGTTCAGGCAACCCCACATAGGCAACCTCAAAGGAATGACGCTGAGGAAAAGAAGTCAATCTCAAAGGGTCACACTGTTTGATTCCATTTATATAAAGTTCTTGAAATAAAATCATAGAGATGGTGCGCAATCAGTGGTTGAGGGGGGAGGGTGGGTAGCATGAGGGAACCTGGCCGCGCTGCACAGGTCCGTACCTCGCTGGTGGTGGGGGTTCCCTGGAGCTATACGCATGACAGAACGGGGGCAGAACCACACACCCAATGCGTGTCACCAGAGGAAGCTGTGCATTGCATCAGTATTGATCTCCTGCCGCTTGCACTATAGATACACAAGTTGTAAAGAGTGAAGGACCGTCTAGCACAGCACTTCCCAGGACATTCCTCTGCAGCTTCCAGAAATCCACAGTCACTTCGAAACACAAAATCACAAATAAAAATGCTCGGCCAAGGAAACCCTCGGGCCCTGCCCAGACTTACGCATTGAGTGTGGCCACAAGGCAGAGGCACGTGCCTTCCCGAGTCCGGAAATTCTTGTGCTTGAAGCCTCCCAGCATTCGGTCCCAAACGTACTGTAGGTGACAGAGGAACAGGTGAGAAGAGGAGGAGCCTTTCATTTAATAAAGAGGAGCCTCTCTACAGGTGCCAAGTCAGCCCCAGCCTCAACCAATCCATTTCGCCCTCTCAAGGGCATACTGAAAAATGGCAACTTGTATTTCTGTATCAAGCCAGAGTTTTTCCAAACACATTCCTTTATAGAATTGCATTTAATTATGCCAACAGCTCTGCAAGAAAGGTATACCTGTCCCCATTTCATGGGTGAGGAAAGTAAGGCCAAGTGAGGCTTGGGTGACGTGCCAGAGAGCACGTACTCCTACTGCTCTCCTGGTCTGGAACAGCTGTCTCCACCTTACCACAAGTCACACATGCGCTCCTCTTTTAAGACATTCTGGGTTTACCTTCCCTGGATGGTTTTTTCTGATCCTTCCACCACCCCATCCCCTATACGTTACACAGTTGGAGCATGGAAGGCAAGGCTGTGTCCCTCTGTCCATCTGTCCCAGCAGCCCCAGCTCACTAGCAGACAGGAATGAGGGCTGCAGCCAGGCCTCCTGACTCCCCAGACACCACAACCACCTCTTTTCATAGAAACTGAGACAATTACACAAATGAGCTCAAGAGTCTAATGGATTCAACCAAACACACAAGACCCATGTTAAGCCCACTATTTTAGTCAAAGTATACCCTTTGCTATTTCTTTTTAAAACATCCTGTACATCCTGTATGGGGGGGGCAGGGACGGATTAAATATTATGAAAATTTTTATGTGAAACACATCAGCTTAAAAGAAATTAAATCTTGGGACACTTGGGTGGCTCAGTCGGTTAAAGCGTCCTACTCTTGATTTTGACTCAGGTGAGATCAAGCCCCGAGATGGGCTCAGCGCTGGGCGTGGAGCCTGCTTAAAATTCTCTCTCCTTGTCCCTCTGCCCCTCCCACTCGCGCACACTCTCCCTAAAATAAAAAAATAGATAAATAAAAAATAAAAAAAATTAAATCCCCCCCTCCCCACCGCGCCCAGAGAGAGAGCATGCACATGCTGGGAGAGGGAGAGAGAAAATCTCAAGCAACCCTCCACTGAGTGCAGAGCCCAACGCGAGCCAGAAGCACATGCCAGACGGCCGTGGAGCACCTCCCTGCCCTACCTGGGGATTAGCAGCTTGATCCATGATCTTCAGCAACAGAGTTTGGTCTTGCTCTCGCACAGAGTCTTTAGCATCTCCCAGTCTGTCTATTAAACTTGGCAGCACTGAAAACCAAAATGCAAATTGATCAAAAGAAAGCCTGTTTTGGGGGGTCTGCAGTCACCAACTGGGTATTTCAATTACTGGGAAGACAAAATGCTGGCCTAAATGATGTACACCATTCTAGAACCACCAATCCTCACAGTTCTACTCTCCTCACTAAAATTTATAGGAGCTTACTCTAAGAATCTGCAAAATCCTTTGCATGGACACTCTACTTGTCTTCTTCCTTAACCGACCTTCCTCTAGCTAGCTCCCAGCACGCTTTTAAGCTGGTGAAATATTAAAAATGAATGTTGGTGGAAGACCCTGGCAGGAAGGAGTCAACACAAAAGGAAGTTTAGGTAAGAGAGGGGGCTCCAGCACATTCGCTGGGGAGAGAAGAAGGCACTTATGACTCAATCTCTCATCTAAACTGCATGTAATTTTACAGAGTATACATGCAGATGTGTTAGAGTCGAGCTCCCCACCCCAGGTGTGGGCTATCAGCTAGTACTCCAAGGGCATTTACCTACCAGAAGTCAGTTTACTTAGCTTCTTCCAAGAGTCTATAAACCTTTCTTTTACAAGAAGTATCCCTAAACAACTCAGCTAACTTATGAGGAAAATGGAATGCTATTAAAATATCAAATTTCTAAAAGTAAGGGAAGTTTTTATTTACAGATGGATAGTTAATGCCAGAATGGGAAAAGAGTTCTTAACTTTATCTGAAAGAGCACACTGACCAGGAAGTCAACAGAAAATAACAAATACACATGTAGCAACCAAAACTGAGAAGATTTCCTCTGAAGGAAATCTCTGTGCAAACGGAGCTGCTTGGCGCTTATATTGTCATTATGAAATCCCAGAGGTCAAGAATTTAGAAATGACTAAATCATCTCTAAAACGATGAAACCTGCTTATTTTTTATTTCGTTTTGCTGACATCGTTTACCCTCCAAAATAAAGAGTGATCATTTAAGGTACACTTGTAACATTTATGACCAAAGTGAAAACAGTTAACACCTAGGTTACTGATCTTGAAAAAAACACAGCTGATCCAACAGGATTTGCAAATCCAATAGGATTTGCAGGCCATCTAAAAACGGGAAAACAAGGCCTCTCAAAACCCGCAAATATGATTTTGTCAGCACTAAAATGTGACAGCTGATCTGTATAAGAATCTGTGTAAGATATGGTGACAACATAATAAAATAAAATTAAAAAAAAAAGAATCTGTGTACGAATAAAAGAATTAGCAGTAATACTGGGTATTAGAACACGAACGCGGGAAGAAGCCAGCACAAAGGTATGGGAAAAACAAATACGTGAACATGCCAGCAGGTGTGGTGAGGCGGGTGGATCTGGGGTGACCCCAGGAGGGGAGGAGGAGCAGTGGTGCAGCCCCAGCAGGGGGAGACTGAAGAAGGACTTAAAGGCTGGCTGGGAGGGTGGGAGAACTAAAGCAGAAGGGCGGGTGCGGTGGGGGCTGAAGGAGGCCGCTGGCCCGGAGGGTTGGGTCGGGCTAAGTGGAGGATCTGGGAAAAGACTGAGCGAAGGACGGTGGAGAATGTGGGGGCCCGCTCCACACCTACCCACAGCTCACCTGTGCCAATCTGCGCCTTGAACCGATCCTGCAGTCGGGTGACCAGCGCGGACAGGATGTCCATGCCGAGAAGAACCACCTGCAAGGGGAAACACCGGGAACCCATTAGCCGCCGGCCTCGGGGCCCACGCTCTGGCCCGCCAGCTCCCAGGACGCCCCCCCCATTCCTGGCTCAGACGCAGTCCGACAGCCCGGAGAGCGCACGCCGACTGGCAGAATAAACTGGTTGTCAAGGGGTCTGCTCTGGTACACAAAGGGCTGTTCATAGCTTAAATGGAAAACGGAAGGGGACATGAAAAGAAATAAAAAAACAGCCAGAGCGGGGCCACATCCAGGGCACCGGCGGACCAACGTGGAAGCCCGAGCCGCGGCCCCGCCCCCTACCGGCCCCGCCCCGGCGAGTAGGGCGTATGCAAATTACTCGCAGCTGGTGCGTGGCCTTCTGGGTAAAACCAAGCAGCCTGTTCGCGACCTTCAGAAGCCTCAGAAAACAAGAAGTTCCTGATTTGCTTCGGCAGCTGTGCTCACCATAGGTACACTAGCTACTAGGCGGTTAGGCCGGGAGTTGAGAATTAGTCACCCCAACCCTACCCGGTATTGGCGCTTCCTGCTTGCAGCGCACGCACAATAACTATCAACCATCCTTTTCTTGGGGTTGCGCTACTGTCCAATGAGCGATTAGTGAGGGCAGTACTGCTAACGCCTGAACAACACGCCCGCATCAACTAAAGCCTCGCTTTATCTTGGTGCAATTTTTGGAAAAAAGAAAAACCTCTTTTCCCCCGACGTATGAGTTTAATATCAGCTTCAGCCATGTTTAACAAGCCTGCTGCAATACCAAAAAGTAGCACCAGAGAGCGCTCGAGATCAACGCCAACTCCAAGCTCGACGTCAATATCCGGTTTTCAACACGTCCGTCACAACTTACAACTGTTAGTAGTTAGTTTAACGATCCTGGTTCTGTTTGATCCCTCCGACTACTCAGCAGGTTGACCTACTATACTCTCCAAAATACATGAACGAAAACAAGCTTGATTACAAACCCGCTTTTGTGCTTCTCTACGTGATTAGCAAAAGCATTGAGACGTGTTTAAGAAAGTATTAAACCACCTCAAAAATGAGAGTCCTCCCTACAAACCTTTCTCAGTAGGAAGCAGTTCTGCTTTGTGCAACTTTACTAAAACATGGTTGAAAACTAAATGGAGCAGCCCAGTCGGTATCTTACAAAACAAATTAATGAACAAGACTAAGGCAACCCTACACTAATCACCCTAACATCAAGCGATGTCATTTTGATTCCTTTCATCTATCTGCCACTGCGTTCTGCAGCTTGTAAATGCAAAGACTGCAGGCTTTTCCATTCAGCTTGGAATCCACTGCTTCAAAACTGCCCAATCAGGACATAAACTGTCCTTGCAAGGTACTGGCACCTTGAAGAGATCAAAGGAAATAATTCTAAAAATTTTTTATAAAGAGAACATTGGTTGGTAAACAGCTTTTTAAAAAAATATGTAATGGTATAAAACACTTAAATATAGTGGCTTTACTTATCAGCTAAAGAGGATTTAGGTTATCACACTCTGATTTCCTCCCAAAGAGTACAGTATGGAAGTAAGGGGGAATAATTTTACAGTGGAGAAACCCGACAAACAGCACCTCAACCAGATAATCAGGGTGAATATCAACAGTCACAATTCATGTTGACAGCATACATGCTTGTGGTGTGATTAAAATGACACTTTACATCTGTGATGTCCTCCTCAAAACCCGTAAGCCCAATTCAATCATGAGTGAAAACATCAATTCCCATAGACGGACATCTTACAAAATCCCTGACCAGTACTGTCAAGGTCATCTAAAACATGGAAGTCCAAGAAACTGTCATAACCTAGAGGTGCCTAGAGACACATGATGACTAAATGTAATGTTAATCCTGGATGGGATCCTGGAACAGATAAAAAGCCAGTAGGAAAAAAGTGAGGAACTCTGAATAAACTATGTCAAGACTTGAGCTAATAACGATGCATCAATATTGGTTTATTAATTTTAACAACTCTAACATACTAATGTTAGGTGTTAACAGATGTGTGGTGTACATGGAGACTCTCTATACCACCCTCATAATTTTTCCGTAAATCAAAAACTGTCCTACCTAAACATTAAAGCTTGTATTTTAAAAAGAGCAGCCCATCAATTAATTGGAATTGGCTTTTCCCTGATGAAATCCTAAGCACTGAGTATGGCTGCATCGCAGGTGGGAGATGGAAGTGTTATTCATTACAGAAATACTAGGAATGCTGCCTTCAAGTGCTCACCACATCCCGTCATCACTCATTCAAGACTAAGGTGTAAGAGGACAATTACACCTTCATTTTGAATGAATTCAAAATTCTGTCAGATATCGCAGCCCTTGTTGGTGAAGCTACCTGTGGAATTTGAGGGAACATAGACTTCCTTTCATCTCTTCCAGGATGGAAGTTTACTTGGTAGTTTTGACCAGTTCAGGCCTAGCTCAATCCTAAAGAGTAAATTTCAAAAGTCTTGCCCAGACAGACTGGGGAGTCCAGAGACTCCCCAAAAAGCCTAAGTTGGCAGATGCAGCGAAGGCCCAGTGAAATAGGACAGGAGAGGACAGAACACAGTCCCAGGCACCTTCACAGCAGAAAAAACAACTACTTTGCAAGGAAGCAGAGGGGTTCATTTACAGTTTCTATTATTAAGAACATTTAATAAGAATGTTTTTAATAAGAATGTCTTCTTAAATGTTTTTAATAAGAATGTCTTCTTAATAAGAAATTAAGAACATTTACAGGTGAACTCTAGTTCACCCTGAGTCACAGCCCCAGTGGGCAAGGAAGGCAATCATCACCCACAAATGTTTATCTTCACAGCTCAGGCCCTGCTCCTATGTTTCCATTTCCCTACTGAAGAAGGGGATACATGAATAAAGTCACTGCCCAGAAGACCACCATTACTGGCTATGAAGCTTCCGTGTGCCTCAACCTCCCACCTGTAAAATGGGGATGACAGCAACAGCTACCTCACAGGTCGCCGTATGTGAAGTGTGTGATATAGTGCTTGGTGCATGGTAAGGGATACCACCAGCTCACTGTCACTGCGTGGACAATACGTACCGATCGGTGCTCCGGCAGAGGCCTAGGATTCCTGACAGACTGCTCTGGCAGAGAAGGCTTCCCAGAAAGAGTCACACTACATGAGGTTAAGTTTTGAAAAACCAGCCTTGCACCAAAGGAAGAGATGGCCTCTAAGCAGAGGGAAGTGTGCATGCAAAGATGTGAGACAGCTACCATGATGGGGACAGCTGGAGGGGAGGGCAGGGCTGGGAAGTTGCAGGGGAGATCGCTCCCAAAGGGCCACAGACATGCCTGCAGGACAATGGGGCAGTCACTGAATTCATCTGAAACGGATGAGTTCTCAAGGTCCAACACAATTCCTTTATCCTGCAACTTTAAAAACACGCTTTCAAAAGGAATTAGTAATTGCTAAGTAACCCAAACTAACCCTCATGCTGAAAACAACTAAAAATGCTAAATTATAAAAGAACATCCGCTTGGAAATATCAGAGAACAAGGAAGGCAAAGAAAAGTTACCACATCACAAAACATAAGTAAACTAACATCCAGAGGGATAAGCGTGCAGCAAATGGTCCACTTTTGCTCTCGGACCATTTAAACACTGAGAAGGGACAACCAAGACACTGCGAATTGCTTCCAATGACCACATGGGTCTAGGAGAACAGAGGTTGGATTTCAGAGCCCTCAAAGGTTGGTAGCCTGGATAGCCCCCTACAATTCGCATTAGAAATCCAAATGGCTATACCTTAGGAGAGTGAGTTGAAAGTAAAACAGTCTTCAGATGGACCACAAGACCAGCTTCCAGGAATCTGGGTAGCCCAAAAAAATATGAATCCCTGACATCAGATGGAAATGATATTAAGCTTAGCTGGTGCCCTAAAGCCCTTGGCAGATGAAAACCTACATCACTTCCAGATGGAGAGAACATCATCCTTCTAGTCCTCAATTTACTTCTGTGAACACTTTTCTCAAATACAATGTCCAAAACACAACCAAAGACAGCCAGGCACATACAACAACTATAAATGAAAACTAGGAGAAACACAGACACACATGAACTAAGTATATGAAAATACTTAGAAACAGATATTAAAATAATAATTCTGGGGTGCCCGGCTGGTTCAATCAGTAAAGCATGTCTCTTGATCTCAGGGTCATGAGGTTCAAGCCCCACTTTGGACACAGAGCTTACTTAATAATAATAATAATTCTTACTGTGTGTAAGAAGATAAAATACATGATTAAAATTCGGGGGAGAGAAATTACAACTTTTAAAAAGTGACATCAATTTTTAAAAGCACCAAATAATTACCAAAATTCAGTACCCCATGGATGGGCTTGGTCTGCAGAAAAAAACAGAATGAAACACAAAGAGGCAAAAAGATGAAAAATTCAAAAAAGTAGGTAAGAAATAAAGGACAGACAGAGAAGAACTAACAAGTTTAAATGGACTTCCAAAAGGAGAGTCAGCAACATCAGGTAAAAAGAATTAGCTGAAACCCATTTGGATCACTATTATAACAAAAAAATAAGGAAGGAAGGAAGGAACGAACGAACGAACGAACGAACGGAGGGAATAACAAGTGTTGGGGAGGGCATGGGGAAATTAGAACTCCTGGTATACCACTGGTGGGAATATAAAATGGTAGTCACCGTGGAAAATGATATGGTGGGTCCTCAAAGAATGAAACACAAAATTACCATATGATCCAGCAATTCCACTTCTGGGTATATACCCAAAAGGAGTGAAAGCAGGATTCCAACAGACACTTGTATACCTATGTTCCTAGCAACATTATTCAAAATAGCCAAAAGGTGGGAAGAGCCAAATTTTGAACCAAGTGTCAAATCAAGCATCATACTTAATGATGAAATACTGGGGAAATAAAAAAAACAACAAATTAAAAGTATAAACTCACAAAGAAGCAAAACTGTCATTATTAATGGAAAATATAACTATAAGTAGAAAATCTAGAAGATCTAC